CAACCATCAATCCCAGGAATCATAAACCAACACAACTTATCATTTTGCTTCTAAATGTCAGGCAATATTTAAAGGTTATATACAAATTTTAGAAACTTTTTTTTTTAATTGCATTACATTTGGTGAAGGGTGGATAATGACTTCTTTAATACAAAAAATAAAAAATAAAAAATTAGGACTTGGACTTGAGACTTGTTGGTCTTGACTTGGGACTTCATCACCGAGACATGAGACTTACTTGGGGCTTGCAAATACAATGACTTTCTTCCACCTTTGCTGATCCATACAGGAACCCAAGGACAGTGGGATTTAATCTGAATAGAAAAAAAATATTTAACCCAGACAGACCAAAATAGAGGAAGAAAAGTCAACATTGTTAGCAGCATGATGAGTCACAGATTAATGAGCAGTTGCAGTTGAGAAGAGAAGCAGATCCGTTCAAACTCTCTGCCTTAAAAAAAGCACATTGTTCACGTAATCACTTTGGCACACGACATGACCGGAAATCTGGATCCAGTCAAATCCTGAATAGAGTGGTACTTGATCGGACCAAATCAATCAGACTGTATCTAACATAGGTTGGACCCAGTCCAAGTCTTGCTTATGGCACCTTTTGGTTTAGTTGGCTATGCTGGCATTAAGTTACCAATATTCAACTGCAAAGGTAACTTAATCACAGTGCTTTATGTGTGAATGCTTCTCAATCTGCATCTTATTAAAAACATATCTGATTTTAGAAGATATGATTCATCCACATATTACAAACTATATATTCAAACCATGAGCTGAATCAAAACCTCTGTCACTAAAACAACAAAAACATTGGACATTTTAAGCTTTACAAATACAGGATATATTGCAGAGCTGTTACAATTATTGTATTATTACATTAGGTTGTCAGCTTCATTCCTCCACCCCCAACAGTTTGGCTGTAAGATTTTAAGGGAAAAGAGAACACAATTTGACCATAGTCAGCACGATGAATATGATAAGCTGTCACAAGATTTTAACTTTAACTATTCTGCCTTGAATATATTACAATACAAGTAACTCTGCGGTGGCTGTGAGATTTGAATGTTGAAGGTGTTTTTTGGTGTTTTATTTTTTTTATATAATATTGAATGCCTATGGAGAATATGCAACCAGCATGTGATTGCTTTATGTACAAGTGTCCCACAAGGTAGCTTTTATCCTGTTTTCTTTTCAGTCTACACAAATGAGATGAGGTTGCAAGACAGCACCATAGTTACTACAATATGCTTTATGGTTCCACATGCCTGCACTCAGTCGCACATGAACAAGCTGGTAGAAGCACAGGGCTGATAAATGATAAGCCCAAGAGCCCGGAGACATCAGTTTCCTCTTCTCACACATTTTCCCACACTGGATTACTTTCTTGAGGACACGTCACAAGATTTTTGAACATTGGTAACTACTCCATGATCACCCTAGGAATCCACAACAACTTGTATTACATTAATACAAATTTATCCCACTGGTAATAAATAATTCTAGACATTTAAATAGATATCCCATTGAAGCTCTTTCTGTCCATCCAGTCATATGTCTCATTAATGAAACCAAGCAATGTTTTACTTCAAATGTCACAATTCACACCATTACTTAAGCACCAAAGCAAGCATCAGTACACTGGCTTAGAAACAGTCTCCCAGCAATAGTGATAAATGTATTTGAGTGTTTCTATGAACTGAACTGAAACTTATATTCTCCTAATATGAGGGTAAGGAAATTTAATATATAATGATCCTTCAACCAGTCAGATCGACAAAGCATATAATGTTATATATAATAGTCAAATGACAAAATCATTGCCATTGAGAAAAGTCTTCAGTGTCCTTTACTCTTCTTTCTTTGAAGAAACACTCTTCAGTTCTGATATAGCTGATGGTAGCAGCACATATGCTAACATATGGGCAATTGTTGAGTAACTAATAGTGTTGTTTCACTGTAATCAATCAACAATTTATGTCAAAAATGTATGAAAGTGTCATTTTTTTTAACCTGAAGTTCACAAATAAACTAGTTTCTCATTCTCTTTGGAGCCATAATGTCAGTAGCCAAATAAGGGAGCAAAAGATCTTTTTGTGTACAAAGGATCTTTTGTTTGTGGTGCAGTCGGCCTTTTTCTATAAACTTGCAAGTGTTACTGTTTGTATGAACGTCATATGAGATTTACTTTAGAGAAGCCTGAAGTTGAGAAACAATAACGGCTTCATAAAAACGTTACCAAAGAGGTTTAGCAGCGACAAAGTAGAAAGTAATGGGAGGTGAAACTGATTTCCTCTGTCATTACAGGCAGTCAGTGAGGCTGACGCTGCCTTTGTGTGCCATCAGACTTATAGACTTGTTTTTTGTCCCTTGAATGTATCTACTGTGCTGCCCAGCAGTTATTTTTCCACAAAGCCCTGACCAGAAGCTTTAATTTATACTCTGTCTTCTTTGGCAGGAACAGAGCACAACCCTCATTCCAAAGTCTCTTAAAAGAGAATTGGTTGACCTCACTCACATACTGATTGTAACCTTTTTACCCACTGTGACCCCTCAAGAGTGCATCATCTATCTATCTATCTATCTAGATATCGCCTGCAAAAGAACGCACAAATATTTGTATGCTTGTCATCCCTCTACTGATCTGTCTTATTACCTTGCTCTGCTTTTAAAGTTGTCTTATAAGGATTTTAGTCTGCCGTTATTAAGATGCAATTACTAAAACAATTTTCCAATTTTAATATACCTTGTTCCTTTTATTAAAATTGCTTGGTGTAATGCATTTGTAGAAGGGTTAAAATGGTAACATGCACTGCTTATTATCAACAGCTTTGTAGGAGGTATGTGATTATACTTCAACCAAAAGGGAAACCTAGAGACTAAAACCTGCTACAGTATCAAATGAGAGAGGTGGTCGACACAATAACTGAAAGACAACAAAAACATATTGCAATAAATCCTATCCTTGTGCAGCTTATAATGCCCAAATCTGGCAGGACTGTCAAAAAATGTGCTGATTCAAGCCTATAGTTGCTTTTGAGGCCATTGGTTGTGGTGGTGGATTGGAATGCATTATATTTGTCTTTTATTTTTTCCACGCCTTGCTGTAGAAAGCTGTCATTTTAGTTCAACTGGCGATTGTTTTTCCATCAAACATGGGCTGTTGTCCTTTCATTTGTTTATATGTCAAATTGTCCATCAATCTTATTGACTCTTTCCGCTGGCTTATGATGAAGCTTGGGGAAATGATATAATTCACCACTTCAATACAGCAGTTTCAGACATTGACCAATACAACCGGTGAGGGGTTTCGGGTGGGGACTTAATTGTTTGTCTGTTTAATATCTTGGAAATTTTGAGTAAATGATGTAGCTCACCACTGTTGTATAAAAAAAAAATATATATATATTAGAGCAGCTACTATCAGGCTTCATGTGGATTGTGGAGCAGCTCAGCTAATTTCAAACAAGACTAAGACTCTACAGCCACACTAGCGGCTCTTTTGTCATTTGTACTTATGCACAGTGGTGCAGCTAAATGCTAACATCGGCATCTTAACATGCTCACAGTGACAATGTAAACGTGCTGATGTTTAGCAGGTATGAAGTTTACCATGTTCAACATCTTAGTTCAGCTTGTCAGCATACCAACATTTACTCATTAGCATTAAACACAAAGAAAGCTGAGGCTGATGAGAATGTCATGTTTTGTGGATATTTGGTCATAAAAGACACATTTTGACTTGATGATAAGTTAATAGAATTCTTTTTCACATTAATGTCAGAAGCAAATTTCATGGCAAAAAACCCCCCCAAAAATGCCAACCTCATGGTGACACTAGAAGAAAAGCTTCATCCATTTGGAAGCATGAATATCTGTACAACATGTTATGGTCATTCATAGATATTTCAGTCCGCACCAAAGTGGTGAACAAACTGACATTGCCTTCTCTAGAGCTATTACTATTATGATTTGGTTATAATAAAACCATGTTTGCTTCTGAGGCAAATTAACCTGCAACAGATTTACAAATTGGCAGGAGGCTCATCTGTTTTCTATTCATATCAACTACCAAAGGCAGACTGTACAGAACATGCTACTGCCAACCTGAGAATGATGTAACACCTGAAGACCACATGCTGGGAAGTTACGAAGTGAGAAAAGAAGCTAAAATAGTTTGCTAAAAGGAACTAACGAATGGTTGAAACATCCCGCTTCTGCCACTCCAAGTGGTAATGCAATCCGAGTTAACCTTAAAGATGTTCACCTCACTCAGATCTAACCCCTGCAGGTACAGGAATATGGTCAATGGTGGACTAAATAAAAACTTAAAATCTGCCAAATAAATCAAACTCAACTTTTAATCCTGCCTTAAGGATTCACGTTTGACAAAGAAAAATGGCTAGGAACCACTGAGCTATGCTATCTGAAATGTGACCAACAGCATTGTAAAACTATATCTGGCAGTTATTCTCTTAGCCTCAATGCTTTTGTTTAGAGATTATTTCTAAATCATTAGAGCTGCTGGGGGGTTTGGTTGTTTGGCTTTAGGTGTTTGCAGATAGTGACTGAGCAGTGAGAGATCAGAGAATCTGAGAATAATGTATTAAATTCGAGGGTGGGATTAAATTGCACTGTGTTACGTTTACAGATATTACTCAGAGATAGTCATAGTGTGATGTCGGTGCTCTTTTATCTCAGTCAGCTGTTGTCGTCATTTCTGTCCCCAGAGTTAGCCTGTCTAGTTCAATTTCCTGAACATTTTTGCATCCCTTTTTTTTTGGAAGGTAAAGATATGAAAATTCAAAGCATATGATCCTTTTTCTGTTACACAAAGGTTCACATCAGGCAAAACCAATTAACCCAAAACTAGACCAGTAGAATGGGGTACACAAATGACACATTGAGAAAAGAGGATTAAAATGTCATTGTGTATATAATTGCTCTGCTTGGCAAAATGTCAATGCTCTTCTCAATTCCAACAGACAAAATCTGGAATTGCTTTGCTGTACAATGAGGAGACCAACAATACCTATGATGTCTGCCTGAAATTGACCAAAGAGGTATTAACCATACAGAAGCTGGATGTGGTTTGCACAAGTGGAAGTGAATCCCAAGTAAATGTAAGTGCGCCAGAAGGCTCCAGACTTGCATTGTAATTCATGCCGCATAACTCCAGAATACTGTTTCAATGTTCACAATATCTTTTTGCCAATAAGAAACTCCCACTTTCTAAAGCACAGAACTGTTGTACTGCGAAGACAGGCGACTGGCGGCCTGGGCTTAAGCATCAAAGTAAGCAGATACGTTTTTGATTTATTGAGAGACTAAAGTGGAAATGAAGAGGCTTTGGCATGCAGAGTTGACTGGTTGTCTGAGAATACAGTTTTGGCAGCCAATTTCAGCACCGAGTCTCAACACCGTTCATTCCCACCTTTCTCTTATACTTTTCAGGGAGGGGCTGAGCACAACGTGCCTGTGGTTATTTCAAAGATTTTCAAAGATCAAGTAGGTAAGAAAGTATTTTATGTCCCTACTGCAAAGTGGATATGGAAATGGTTTTCAATGCAGTGGTAAATGTCATTAATCAAGTGGATTATAGAAATGTTAATGAAATTAGGGAGAAACACTGTATGTTTTACAGCTGACATTTGAGTTCACAATGAAATTTTGAGCATTTTGAGAGCATGATTCATTTCATTAGGTTAGGACACAATCAAAGGGAAAAACAGTGTGAAGAGTGAAGAGAGAGAGGGAGAAATAGTTCAAAAGTTTAACAATTAGCAATTCTGTGCTCTTTCCAACAAGGTGAGATGAAAAGTTGGATATCAATCTCATGTGGTGCCAGTGGTTTATTATTGCATTTCTTCAAAGCTGGGAAAATTTGTGAGGGACAGATTTTAAAAATGGTCAGAAATGAAATCAGACAGAACCTACTTTTCCCATAATGCTATTCAAAAGTGTCTTGAAATTGACCCTCCTTTCCTGGTAAATGCTCACATCTTTCAAACACCAGATCCTGACACAGACTTTCTGTCATATATTTGTAGTCTCTAAACCCGAACATCATCCGGATTATTTTCTCAGACCTTGCAAACCTCCCTCCAGAGCTATAGATTATATACAACTACACAAGCTGAAGTGGTGCTTCTCATGACGAGTGAACGAGAGCTGGAATCAGGAGGTGTAGTTTAGCATAAAGACGCTACATTGTTGCAGAAATGTAAAATCAGCAGTTTGTGATTCTACAGGGATTTGGTATACGAGTATAACAAATCTGGCAACCTTATTGACACCAGAAAGATGCACATAGTCACTGTGCTCTTGTTCGCTAGGAAATAGTTCCAGCACATAACTCCCCCTAAAAATAAAAAAGGTTGCCGTTACAAACCATTTAAAGGGCCAGTATATGGGATTTAGCACAAAAACATGCAAGCGGTTCTGTCTATAGCCAGTGTTTGGTTTATCCATTCTGGGCTACTGTAGAAACATGGTGGTTCACTCCATGAAAGGCGACTCTTGGTGCCTGTTGATGGTTAGTTCTAAGGTAACAAAAAGATAACAATTCTTATCATCTTATTTTCTTATATTATCTTCATTAATGAAGACAAAGCAATGCATATTGCAATTCACTTCTACCAATAGATCCTAGATTGATCAATGACATTTAGATATAGGTCCCTTTATGCTCCTTTTTAAAAAAAACAAAATAAAAATGGATAAATAAGTCATTAAAAAAATAACTCCTTTGTATGATGAATTGTTGTGCAGTCTCCGCCTGAGGGAAGAGCCTGTGTTTAAGTCTGGTGGTAGGCAGCGGAAGCTTCCGATCTCAGCCGGGTGAACAGGCTGTGGCTGAGGTGGGGTGCTGTATTTTAGTATCCTTTGGGCTCTGTGCAGGCACCTCACTTCACCAATATCACTGATGCTAAGTACCAATCATCTTCTAGGCGGTTTTACTCACCCGCTGCAGAGTCCTCCTGCCCTGGGCCGTGCACATCCCATGCCAGTTTGTGATGTTTCCAGTCAGGATGCTTCCTATCGCTCCTCTGTAAACATTAAGAACTTTGCATGTGGTCTTTTTTTGGTCTTTTATTTCCCATTCAGTAGTACTTTTTACCAGCTTATTTACTGGCGAGCCAGTGAGTTTTAATTTAACAAACAATAATGGGTAATTAAGTCTGCTTTAGAGGTGTTGGCTAGGTGTTTTCCTGTTGGCAGTCTGTGCTAAGCTAGGCTAGGCGTGCCCTGATTCCAGCTCCTCTAACTCTCTAACTCTCAGAAAGAAAGCAAA